TCATCAGCTCTATATTAAGGTTGTGGGACTGGGCCAATTTGGTGGAAAACACACATTCCCGAGGGACCGACGTTACCATGAGATCCTACCTGGAACAATGTGATCGGCCACGGGGCTGCCGGGCTGCCTCTCCGCCCCCGTCCAACCCTAGGTATCAGCCGCAGGAAGTCCCACACAGCCACTTCCTGTTGAGCGCACAAACAATGGCCATTGTCACTGGCTGATATGGTGTGACCTCAGCTCCGTCTGCCATGCCTTGCTAACCATAAATTGTCCACTTTTAATCAGCTTGAATGGTGAAAGATTGACGAGACCGCGGCGCCGAGGAGCGCAAACAACAACAGAACGGGACAAAAGGCCCAGCTCGCTCAGAACGTGTCCAGGTCGTAAACAGGGTTGTTTATCCGGCGGTTTTCACTTTATCACATGGGGTGGAAGTTATCAGATGTCTACAGAATCACAATATGTTTCAGCTGTTCTATTGTCATGTGCAAGTTTGTTTCAAAGCTTGGGTTTGGCGGATTTTACTTTGAGAGATGATAGACTGGATTGGGCCTGAAAGATTTTGAATCACCACGTTATCTTGCTGTGAATGAGAGGGTATAGGCAGTACGGTCCAGTACATTCTTCACATAGATGTATATCCCACTGTTCAGAGTGTAGCAACTTTGGGGTCAAGGCAAGATCACATAACATACAGTGGGTTCTAAAAGCCTGAAATCACATCGCAAATCGATTTTAAAATTTAATATAAACCTGGAAGCAGAAGGTTTCAGGATTTTGAAAAATCTAAAAGAATTATGATATATATGAAATATGAATTATGAAATGAAGAAAGACTGATATTTTCTTTTCATCAGATATTTAGTTTATTCATTTTAGTTTGCTTTATTTATTAGTCTGAATGATTGTAAAGTTTCCTAGAGCTTGTAATACTTCTTCTTATTAATTTTTTTAAATACATTTATTTTAAAAAATAATAATGAATAAAATAACGAATAAAACTGTAATGAATAAGACACCTTTGTTTTTATAAAAAAAAAAGTTTTATTTTAGCATTTTTACTAGCACTCAGAATTTGAGGACTATTATAATTGTTGTTATTTATAATAAACAAAACAACTTTATTAAATTTAAAAGAAGCATTTTCACTAGCATAAGAATAGTTGTAATAAAACAAGTTTATTCTATTTAAAATTATTATTATTATTATTATTATTCACATTATTCACAGTAGGACTGGATGCTGGAGACGAGTGTGTTTCTCTGTGACTGTGAACACCCCCCCCCTCCCTCCACCAAGTCCCTCTTTCTGTACACGGCAGCTGCTGCCTTGATGCTTATGGGGATTAGACACAACTCTCACACAATCTGTCTCTCTGTCTCTGCTGCTCCCTAATGCAGCACACAGGGTTGTGGGGCTGCTGTTTTACCTGGAGAGGTGAGGTATCGTTTTAGTGGTGGCATTCGCTTTTCGCACAGCATTAATAGTTCATTTCTAAGCCATTAATGACAGTCGTGGCTAAATATCGGACACTGCATGAGAAAATGTGGGATTGTTGTGGCTCGGGATCACCTTAAGTTTGCATACGCTTGTGTGTGTTGCATGTGTGAGTGTGTAATTTTGTCTGAGGGAAGACGGTTTAGGTTGATTGAGTTTTATCCCACCGCTAGCAAGAATATGTCACATTTTGACTTCTCTGTTGTGCACACAGAGCGGTCTTGTCACTTGCCCTGTGTGTGCGCTCGCGAGTGCGTGTGAAAGCACGTTTTTGCGCTCGCTGTCGGCTTTAGTTATTAGTCATTCACTCTATCAAGAGATGCTTTCTCCCCCCTCCAAATAATTCTTTAGTAATAAAGCTTTAAGCAGACAGCTGTAAGCTGGAGACCAAATACACCCATATATTAAACATCTCCCAGGCTGTTTGATATGGGCTGATGAGAGACTGTCTGCATTTGTATCCTCCTCTCTAAATCCCTTCAGCATTAATCACCGTGCCTATAACACAGATAGGCTATTTAGATATAGAAGAAAAGCAGACTGGAAGATTACCAAATTCCCATCTTATCTTCTGTGAAGACAAATGGGGGTCCCAAAACTCGCAAGACTTTAAACTACAACAAATAATATGGAGAATCCAATAATGAACCCCCAAAATGAACATTGCAGCAAGGGCATTTATAACAATGTGAGACAAATATTGTTCATTTCCTGAATTCACTTACTAGGAGAAACTGAACTGGCTGCCTTTGAGCTGGGATGGTTGTTTAATTTTAATAAAGCCATTCAGTTACACCATGAGCAGATTTATTATGGAAAATATCATCAAATGGATTTAATGACAGCTTGAATTTCATGAATTGATCACCTATAATGTAACATTTACTGTACAATGCTTACAATTACATTTTTTGTTGTTGTTTATAGTAAAAATTTGACAGCTATTATTGCCAGAGCTTCACACTAAAAAATGTTACAAGCATTACAGGGTGACATTTTGATGACTCTATATGTCACGTTAATGTACCAACCTATTTGAGCTATTACTGTAATGTAACCACTGATAATGAATTAGGCAATTCATAATTTTTACTCATACTTAATTTGAGCAATATTTTACTGTACAAGTATACACATTGCCCTGTTAAATGCACATTTTCTTTTAAAAATTTAAGCTCATTCATTATTTTTTACTTTTGTCTCCCCCCCCCACAGTATATTATTTTATAATATATTGTAACTGAATATGGTAAGGTAGTTGAGTTAACCAGTTAACATTAGTTTCTTCTTGAGTCATTTTTAACATAATTTTTTTATTAAAATAACTAATATTTTTGTATAAGGCTCACATTTATCACTTTTATCAATAGTTATATATTCATATAGGCCTCACTCTCAGAAAAAAACAAAAGCTGTCACTGGAGCGGTACCTTTTGTACCTTATTTACATCTAAAGGGTGCATATTAGTACCTTCTGAAAGGGTTCTTCCCTAGTGACAGCTTTTTGTATCAGTTTTTATTTATTTTTCTGAGAGTGAGAACTTAGTGTGCTTTAATAGACCTACATAAAACTGTAGAAAATATATTTTTTCTCTAAACATTTCAGATCATACTTTTATTATTCATATGATTTTTTATTTTATTTTGTTTTACGTATTTTCTAGTTTTTTAAATAACGTCATTCTTTATTTTTTGTTCAATTTATAAATTATTTATTTATTTTAAATAACAGTAGATGGTTTTATGTAAGGTCAGATAGCAGGTTTGATACAGCCTGTCACATGAGAGAGTAAAATTAATCCAAACTGTTAATTGAGGGTGTCACTGACTAAGAAATTGAAGGATTAGTTCTGGGCAGTTTCTCGGATGGAAAGCGCTGATATGGTTCAGCTTGAACAGGACGCAGGATGCATAATTTGCGTGTCTTTTAAAACTGTTTCCTTCATTCTTTTGCTTGGAATAGAACAGACGGATCCGTGTTTCCGACGTTGCAATGAACTATACATGACTGTGCATGAGAAAGAGAGAGAGATAGAGTCCTGCAGTTTGACTGTCAATGAACAATTCACTACCTGCCTGCAATAAAACTTATCCACCGCTAGAGGTCAGTTATGACTATTTCTGAGCACCGGAGTCTGTGTAAAAATATCCTCTTAAGCCGCTCAATGTGATTTACATGCTGTACCTACATTTTCTTACATGCTATGTTATAAATACACATGAATGTATCATAAAATATAATATGCAGCAGATTAGATATGGCTTATTAACGGTGCAGACAAAATTCAAAATGCTATAAATGACTAGGCTACTTTGTAAAGATTAAGCATTAGGTTTTTTTTAATATTCTGCTATAATTTAACCTGTAAACGTTGAGCTTTTCCTATTTGACTTGTGCTGTTTTCACCTTAAATAACTGCTCTTAACTAATTTGCCTAGAAGCAGGCTAGCCTCATTCTTGTTTTGTAAAAACCCACAACATAACGAAAATACCCCAGTTATGTTTGCTTTCATTTTTAAACCTTGACTTTCCTGATCGTCTAACAACATGGGATAATAACATCAATGCCTTTTCAGTTCTTAGGGTTCAAGTTCACTATTTAAAGAATTTGAGGGTGATTTGTTTTCAAAGAGGGTCTCTGAATTACAGCAAACGTCTGTATTAACAATGAAATAACAAGTGTTATAATTGTCTGACAAATAGTAATTGACTGATATATTTCCTTATGTATTTATTACTGTATGCGTGAAAAACCTATTCCCACCTTTGCTGCTTACTTCAAACAGACTTGTACGCGTCTAATTGACACACTCGTGTAGGTAAGCAGTTAAAAGTCAGTCACAAAGGGCGAAAATCCCATTGTTAATTCCTCAAATGAGATAATGAAGTAAAAAATTTATCATTTTTAATCACTGAATAAACCTGAGCAAAAGCTCTATCAAATGTGATGTTTCACTCAAATAATAAATTGCATTAAACGCAGACCTTATTAAATAATCCACGGATGTTTGTTTGGATAGATGAAATCAAACCGGTAGGAAATTTCATTTTAGGAATCAAACGTGCAGATTTGTAAGCAAATGCCTTGTCTCTGAGTTCATGGCTCATTCTGAAAATAGCTATTATGCTGTGGTTCCTTTTAAATTGAGCCGGTAAAATGTTATGAATACTTTAGCCTACTATTAAATAAATTAGTATCAGTAATTATAAATATAAATACCTGAATATTTAAATAAACAAATTTTAAGTACAGCTGAAAATATGTGCCTACACAAGCCTGTTGTGTAGTAGAGATGCTCACAGGTGAATTCAAACAAACAGGGCGCGTGTGGGAAACTGCCACGAGCTCATGACGGGCGCGCGGTGAACACCTGCGCACCGGCACACAGGTATAAAGCATTTCCCGACAGTTATTTCAGCCAGTATTATAGAGATTCACGCGTAGCCAAGCTACTGTCGCACGCGAGAGAATATGACATGACGGTTATTGAAATTTTTAAAGCGCTCGCGCTGCACATGCGCCTTAATATAAGGCACCTGGAGGGGCTCGCGCTGATTAGACCCCCAGTAAAGAGGCGTTCAAGAGCGGCTGAGGACAGCTGTGATTGAAAAACAAAGTGTGTCAAAACTGACCTACACGCTCACTCATATTTAGACATCCCAAATGCAGTCTTCGAGTGCGGGGTATGACTTACAGCCTACGTTTAGACGGAAATATCTGACATTACCTGAACGAGAAACTCGTTACGAGAATGATATTCTGAAAGCTCTTAAATGTCGTGTCGCCTGTAACAAGCGATGCGCCTCAGGTAACTGCTGTGAACTGCATGCAGCGCTTTAGCCAAGCACAGTGTGTTGGATTTAAATGGTCCAGTTTTGACACATTTGCTTTGCTCAACCGAGTATCGGCGCTAAGGTAACCACTCTTGGCTCAGAGCCTGTTGTTTAGAACACGAACAAATGGACTTCTCCTCCCCCAAGTCTTTGCCTTTTGTAATTTGCTCTGGCGTTGTTGTTTGTGTGACCAGCCCCGTGATTTCACCTCGTCCTTGAGAGACCAGCGCAAATCAACCCAAATAAAACATCCCGACCCTGTTCACCTTTCCCGGAGGGTCGTTTTCCTTCGAGACACGTGGACGAAGCCGTACACACCATTAGGTGAGTGAATTGAGACCGCATTGAACTTTAAACTTGTGATATGTGCGTGTGTTTTGGTGGTCGGTATGAGCGCGCTCGGAGCCGCGGCTCGCGTGACTGCCTAGTTGTTGAGCGACGTTAACGGGCTCCGCGATCTTTCCCCTTGCCATAATCATAGTAATCCAGCTGGGATTAGAGCGCGTTTCTCTCTATTCATCAGCAACTCGATCACTCCTGAGTCCTGCCTCAAACCGCAGCAGATCTCAATCCATAAACAGTCAGTTAAACCATTCTCATCAGCACAGACTTGATTCCTTTTCATTTAGCTACATTTGGCTATATGTGCACACGTGCATTTATTAAGCTAATATACTTGATGCTTTTCCCCCAAATTCAGCTTTGTCACTTTGAAGAGTTAGTGAATTTTTTTCTGCAAGCCCACAGGCTATTCATTATTTTGGAAACAATATGAAGTAGAATAAACACTCAAAATTAAACTAAAACAATAATACATTTGTAATGTTGTAATTATAAAATATAGTTATAGGACACAATAAAAAACTTCATTGCTCTGTTGAAAAATTAAACTACCTAATATGAACAGAAGACAGATGTGCAATGGTCAGTAGATAAGCGCTTACGATAAGGTATGTAGTCCCATAGTGTTAAATAAAGTGGCTTATGTATTTGTAGTGAACTTCTGACATTTTGAAAAACAAGTTAATGTTTATCCTGTTAATTAGTATAGGAAAACTATTATATTAGGAAATGCATCTCTGAATTGTTGGTTTGAAAACCACTTAATCAATTTGAGGAAACATAATTTGAACATAAAAGGCTCTATGACATTTAAATAAGACATGAATGTTATTTGACTTATAAAATGAAACTTTATGAAATCTCTCGAAACAGGAATTTGAGATGTGCATGTTCAAATTGTGTTACACCATCATCATTTTATAATTTTAGGCATGTACTGTACAATCTATCTTTCTATGTACAGTTTTTTTGCACTTACAAATTTGACTTGAACATAAAAGGTATGATTTTTAAATATTTTAATGGCTCTTAATGGTGTAAAACAGATCGCAGTGAACTCCATCATAAAATCCAGCTGTTCACACATAAATCGAATGAAAAATGAATGCTGTCTTGTGTTGAGAGGAGAGGAGTAATTTGCTCGAGTAAGTAATATATTATTGTGTTGGCTCTAATTGTTGGTGATTGATTTCAGTGTTCACAAATTCATAAACGTTGTGATAAAGTAGTCAGATAATCAACTGGTATGATTTCTATAATTTATTATAGGAATGAAATGTAATGTAATAGGAAGACAAGGGCTCAACAAGCAAAAAAGTTCCTAAGAATTCTGATGGAAATCCACAATGATATTTGTTGTTTTGTCAATGAATTCAGCTTTTCTTTTTAGTGGGGTCATGTTGAATGCACCGAGGCTGTTCCTTTTTTGGCAAACCTTTATTAACACTGTACATGGAGTGAGTTTTGGCTATTACCCACAAAGCTTTGCCTCTAATTCAGTCATAATTTGCATAATGAGTCTTTTCCCCTAATTTTTCTCCTCTCTCAGGCACTTGTAAGAGTCTCTTTTAAGAGAGAATTTGTTTCTTCATTTAAAACCCGTTGACTTTGTTCTGAATGAATTCTTCTCTAAGTACATAACCAGACATTAGATCTTGGATGTTGCTGGTTTTAAAACCAGAATTCAAATAGAAACTCCCATTGAAAAAAACACTCATTGAAAATATCATGCTGTAACAGTTATTCTAGGCTGTGTTAGTCGCAGAGTTTCTCCATATCTCCATGCAGTATCAGGGATTGGTTTCCGATTGCAGGGAGGGAGAGAAAAATCACTGTGCATGCTCTCTCTCTCTCTCTCTCTCTCTCTCCTCTCTCTCTCACTCATTTGCTCCCGTCATTCAGATTGCTCTTCAGATTATCACTTAACCGGTTCTGTGAATACATCACTCAGGCACGACAGTATTATAGACCAGGTATGGTCCTTTATCCCTAAGGCCATCTGAACTGACACTCAAAAAAAAATCATGGCTGTTTGACTGAGTGTAACTCAATAATGAAAAGGAAAGCAGATAGAACAAGAAAAGTTTTTGAGTGCTTCCTAGGGGGAATTTCTGAGAGCCAGGACTTCATTTTCTGTTTTGTTTTTTCAATCACTCACCGTCATTTAGTTTCAAACCGCATGTGAAACTCAAAAAGAGAAGTTTTGAAGAACGTGCCAGCTGCTCTTTTCCATGCCATTTTAATGGGGACTGAAAACTTGTTTCACTGTTTGACTGCTGCGATTGCATCTTTTTCAGTGTCTCACAAACTCATGTCATTCTGAAAACACAGCCTTTAGGTTACAAAAAAAGGTCAAACCGTCTCTAGACCTTGCATTTCTTTAGTTCCACTGCCTCATGTCTTACGTTTTTATGTGTGAATAACCCATAAAAGTGACTCGTTTTCTGAAGTCATTTGATAGCATTGTTGAAAAATATTTCCTTTTGTGTCACATAGATTTAGAACAACATGAGGGTGAGTAAATGATGTCAGAATTTTTGTTTTGGGGTGAACTGTCCCTTTAAAGGGATGTTGACACTCAGGAACAGAAGAATAGATCAGAATCCTTTTCATCCACCGCATCTCCTCTGTTGTCCGTTTGAACTGTGTGTTGATCACAGGACAGGAAACGGTAAACAAATTCTTCAACATGTGACAGCCTGCTAGAGCATACTTTTCCTTTTTCATTTCTCTCTCCCTTTTTCTCTCTCTCTTCAGCATGAGCGAAAAGCGTGCACTTCCTCCCACCTCTCTTACTTACTCTCTTTCCCTCTCTCTCCCACTCCAGTAAGCCAACAGGAAGATAGTGCTAGCAGATCTTGGACTACACTGAATAGCATTTGCCAAGACATATGAATTATAAGGCTAATGGGCTTAAAAGGCTTGTCTTAACATTGTCTCTACTTAACCATGCAGAAGCTGGCTTATAGAACAGCAGAAATAGATTGGGAACCAAAATACCCCAATTTTGAGGTCAGCATTAGAATGGATGAAAGACACTAAGTTTCTTTACGAAACCATAAAATATTCAATTGCTGGCAAATTGAGCGATATCTCTCCCCGCTGCTCTCCTCTGGCGAGCCGTCTGCCAAGTGCATTGTGATTGTGTTTTGACATACAACTGATGTGATTCTTCTCGTAACCACAGAATCTGGGACAGGTCGTCATTATCATGAGGGGTGGGGGGGAAAAACGCAGTGAGAACAAAGTAACTGAGTTTCTGGGCTCAGATTGTGTAGGCAGCCCAACAGTGAAGCACTGGCCATGTGTTCAGGCCGTCACTCTGGTGGCTTTGGGCCGGACATCCGCACAGCTGCGCGTGACCCATGATTCTCTCGCTCCCTGCCCCAGTTTGGTGCTCTTTTTCACTAACCTTGCGTCCGGAGGGATTCGTTCATTAACCTTGTGGAGATGTTTTAAAGGGGTCATATGATGTTGCTAAAAAGAACATTATTTTGTGTATTTGGTGTAATGAAATGTGTTTATGCGGTTTAAGGTTCAAAAAACACATTATCAAATACACAAAATAATGATCTTTAAAATAGCATCATATGACCCCTTTAATGATTCACCAGTAAGTTTGCACCTTTTTTAGGCTATTTTCTTTTTTTTCTAAATTTAGGATAAACTGTGGGCCACAGTGTGTCAGTGGGTGTCACCCCTTTAATATAACCATCTGTGAAAGTGAAAATATGAATAATGTGCAGCAAAAGTTTGTATTTTGCATTTATTTAAAATAAAATGTTCATATTTTAGATACCAGTATCGGTATCGGTGCATCCCTAGTTAGTAAGGTAGTTGTTAAGTTTAGGTATTGGGTAGGATTAGACATGTAGATATGGTCATGCAAAATAAATGCTTTATAAGTACTAATAAACAGCCAATATGTTAATAAGGGGCATGCTAATAAGCGACTAGTTAATAGTGATAATTGGTCCCTATACTAAAGTGTTACCGAAGTTGTAATATTATAAATGACTTTACTGCCACTTTTAATCAATGTAAAGCATTCTTGATGAATAAAAGTATTAATTTCTTGAATTTTGTCCAGTGATCCAACTTATCCCTTTTGACACAGCTTAATGTGGAGCACTTTCTTTCTCTGAAATAAAAGTAGTTTTTCTTTTTAAAAGTATTTGACTAGAGGACAACTTACAAAGTTGTTTCAAAGTAATAATAATAGAATAATAGACAGACTCCTGGTCGCCTTAGAAACATGAAATGTGTTAAGACGGATTTTTGTGTCTATTATTATTAGAAACTTGAATAGGTAAGTGACCTTACAATAAGTCTCAATTTAAGAGTAACAAAATTGATGTACGTTTTTTTTTCATGTACGCATGTTTTGAATCCTGAAGAAAGTGAGAACCTTTTCTGCCCACATACTGTACTGTAAAAAAAAACACACAATTATCAGTTATTAATGAATGACACCTACTTTCTCAGAAACTGTTATGTTTTGTCATTTCTGTTAAATTATTTGAGGATATACATAAATCATTTCTGTGAAATTATTTGAGGATATACATAAATTTTTTTTTTTTTTTTACTATTTTTCTGTGTGTTTATATTTGTGTTTTCTATTTCAGATAAACCTGCGCCTAAGTGGCACACAAATCAAACTGGTTTGAGTTGGTTGCTTTGCATGTCAGTCAGATGGTCTCTTCCTATCTAAGCGAATGGCCAGAATAAACAGTAATGTGGACCAGACCTTATGCCCTTTAATCTGGCTATGTGTGACTGTTTATCACTTGATTGGTCCTCAATAGTAAACTCCAAGCTCTGTGTGAATCTGTACGTGGTAGAGGATGAAAGCTAGCTTCTGTTAAAATGTTTGCTGTGGACAGTTTGGTGACAGTGCTCCTCTATCACGCAGAAACACTTGACAGGTCCTCTGTTGAAAGTGAAAGTGTGTGAGGGCTGGGTCAATCAAGAATAAATGA